AGTGATACAATTCAATTCCAAGCATTTTTTTTTTTAGTTTGGACAACTAGATGGCTTTAAGAAGAAAGCATGAATAGTCCAGACAAAAAATCATGCCTGTGTGCTACCCTGAGGGCTACACGTGTTTGTTCACTTCTTTGACTTTCTAAAAAGATACTAGAAGATAAAAGCCATGAATTACCATTTCCTTTTTTCATTTAAACAATTTTTCCCTTGTTTTTGCATTAATTCTTTCCATTATTTAAACCCTGTCCGCAGCCTTCTTGAAATGGATCCGATTCTGGAGTCACTACTCCGATAGCAGCTGCATCACTGTCAAATACAGAAACAAAATAAATCCTTATTATTAAGATATTTCTGATAATAAATTTTAAGATTAGGGGGAGGTTTTTTAGTTCTTTGCCCACTGTTCTACAGTGGGAAATCCATTTTAACTGGCCATGTGCTGTGACCACTGTGTCTTATTGCAAGTTACTTGTAAGTATAATTTCTCATTCTGTGATAATTGCCTATATTCTTTGTGTATGCTGATTTAAAGCTATGCTGCACTGAAATGCATATGTTGCATTTCAAGCACTTGAGCAGTGCCCTTTACCCTCTCAGTGATCCATCCTGGTTACCATTTTCATAAAGTCAGGTGGGTGGAAGAGACGCATCTAATGTCAAGATCCATGTGAAATTTCAAGTTGGTTGAAGCATGACAGTACTTGAGTTTCAGAGAATGACTGTAAGACGCTAGTGCAAGTGAAACTAATTTTTCTGGTTGTCTGAAGAACGTTGCCCCCAGGTCTCAGCCTGAGAAAGAGGTCCAGCCTTCAAAATTTCAGCCTAGACTAATCCTTAGTTAATACTGCTTCATAGTAAAATGTTCAGCAGTTACTGTCTATTAACAACAAAATGTGCCTGGCGTTACCAACAACTTCTTAACATAAGAGTTATAAATTTGGATTAATTTCAATGACTGCTAAAGGATCTGCAGTCTTGCTTAATGGAGGAAACAACAACTCTCAAAGTGTTCGTTCCCCTGTAACAATCTTTTTTTTTTTAAACTGTTTTAAAGGTCACTTTAAAGGCATGAACAATTTCAGTGATAGATTTCTGAACCCTAATGCATAATGTGGCACACTGTATTCGTAAATTTGTTTGAGGTTTAATTTGTTGCTTAATGAATTTGTGTACTGAGATTATTATTATGGATGACATTAAGTCCTTGTAGTTTTGCCAACTCATACTATTTCTATATATGTAAATAGATATTTTCAAAGATCTCCTTGGATTCTGTGCATCTCTAGTACTGAAGGCTAATGTCTTGTCTGTTTGGTCATTCAGTGACTGCATTTCTAATAAATGAATATTTATAAATATAAGTGACTTAGCTGATCAACTTAGCTTCAACTGGATCTCTCCAGTATTTGGTTATTAACTTTCTGATTTTTGACATAAAATAGAGAAAGTTTTTATATATTACTTTAGGCAAAGTTACATAGCAACCATCCTCTCTTGTTTAAGAAATATGATTAGTAGAGTCATTTGAAACTTTTATACTGTCAATAATCTCACTTCTGTTTGAATCTTATTGCCATTACTTTAAATATTGTTATTCAGATATGAACATCTGCCTTTTGCAAGAACTGTTTTTTGCTAATACAGAAACTCTTTAACACATCGGTCAAGCACTTTCTTAAAAACAGGTGGGTTGTGGAAAACAAAAGTAATCAGATTTGACTATTATGGGAGTTTAGATATCATGTAGACTGCATAAGCTTTCCACAAGGGAGGGAGATGAGTGTGTAAAGTGCTTTTGCTGATAGGTACTCTTCCTTGTTTACGGGCTTGATGAAAACTCAGTCTTGTTTTGATTGTCAAACTTTCGGCCAGCACCTTCTGTCTTTAAGTTCTGTCTAGCCAAAGCACTAATTCTTATAGCTTGTCGTAGCATTAATAGCTTCCTTAAGTCTGTTTTGCATAAATAGCAGGTACTGACACACAAAAATGGGAGAATAATGAATCCTTTCACTTATATTTTCAAGGGGATTGGGGGCAGATGTTGGGGGTTTTGTTTGTTTCGTTTAAGCTTTGAGCCTTAAGGGTTCTTGACAGCAGTTATTTTTGGATTTTTGTATTTTGGAGCTTTAGGATTCTGGCATTCAGCCAGTGCTCTTAATGCTAATAAAAGCTCTTTACAGGTCTCATGTATCAGTATGCAAACTGGATAGCCTTTTCCTGCTGCTCGCTTCAAAAATTTTTGTTAACTTTTTTTACACCAAACTGAGTTTCCTGTAGTAAAAATACTGTATCTGTGGAAAGATGTTTGGAGGACAGCGGTATAAGGTTATGAGGATGAATTAGCTTAGATGTCTTCAGACAGTGCTGTACACATGATGGAGATGCGTCTTAAGATGTCTGACTCCATTATGTCTAGCTAATTTACTAGAAAGTTTTTCATTCCCCAGGATATCAGGTGGATTGACAGAACATACTTGATTACAAAATGCAACGAGTTCATCATTCAACTCTTGCAGATTTATTGCTGTTATATTTAGAAACTACAGAAACTGTTAGAAATTTAAACATCTTGATAAAACAGTCAATTGTCTTGAGTGTTGTCTGAGCGTTCAGAGAATAACTGAGAAGTGTAAATTTACCTGCCTTAAATAAGATCATCTGCATGATTTCTGGGAGGTGAGGAAGCTGGAATGAAGAACAGAAGCGAGTTAACTGTACATTACCACTGTTTCACTTTTTTTTGTCCTTCAAAGATTCACTTGTTTGCCATATACACCACAAGGGACAATATAGAATCATAGAATTGTTTAGGTTGGAAAAGACCTTTAAGATCATTGACTCCAACCGTCAACCCAACACCACCATGCCCACTAAACCATGTCTTGGAGTGCCTTGTCTATGTGTTTTTTGAACACCTCCAGGGATGGTGACTTCACCACTTCCCTGGGCAGCCTGTTCCAATGCCTATACTTAAGCTCCTACCATAAGTCTGTTACTTGTTAAGAATTTCTTGTTCTTTTGATCCATCAGGTGTGTTGCTCATCTCTGTTGAATTTTGAGGACAGTAAGCTGTTCACCCAACTTTCCTAGTTACTGTAATATAAGCATTAAACAAGTAAATGAAGTTAATGTTTGTTTTATTTTTTCTTCAGGTAGGATGCCTCCAAATATGTAGATTCCTTATTTAAGAGTCTGCTGGAGCTCACTAGCTTAAGTAGGCCTTGACTGTTTTGTTTTGTGTGTCGCCATAATTAATAGTTTTATCAACTGAGTTGGTAGTCAGAAGTGGTAATTGAAATATAAATCGATCGGTGCCTACTGTAGGATGCCTGTCCACACAGTCTGTAGTGAAAGCTGCAAGCCGTTCTCCGTGCTGCCTCCAAGGGTGAGGGAAGAGTGCTAAATCTTCACCTTCCCGCTGACGGCGTTCGTGAGGAGGATGCGGTCGTTCTGCCTGTCAGACGTTGGAAGAGTAAACCCCTCACTCGGTGGGCTGGGGCTCCCATGTGCAGGCTTGCTTGGGTAGAGTCAGCTCCAGGGTGGTCGCTGTCACTGCCGCCTGCTGAGCGTCCCTGCGGGTGAGCCGTGGGGCACCGCGGGCAGCTGCTCTGTGGGGGTGCTGACTGCAGCTCAGGTGGGTGCTTGTCAAGAGGGGCTTGCTGCTAATCGGGAAACAAGGGTACGGAAGTACTTTCCGAGATAAGTATCGGGAAACGCTCCTGTGGAATACCCGGCAGGAGTTTGTTTATGGCTTCTTGGAAGTTCCTGCCTTGTGTCACATTCAGTCAGGAAAAGCAACGTGTTATGAATCCTGCAATATGTATTAACTATGTTTTTTAGCGCACTGACAGGCATCTGTGCTCTATGCTGGAGTGAAGCAAATCTCAGACTCTTAATTTTCTGCAGATGCTTGAATTGTTATCAGCAGTTTTGGAAGTGGGAAGAACCTTTGTTCCGCGAATAGATTTCTGAATTTTACCTTGCTTCAGGGTGGCTGAATTTTGCAATGGTTATACCTCCAGGCTTCTTCAGACTCGGCTGAACATTGTGTCGAGGAGGGAAAATTGGAGACTGCGTGTTCCTTCTGAAGAAACATCCACTGTGTTTGGTGTCTTGCAGAGTTAGGGCCTGTAAGGAAATCCCTTGCTCTTCCCCTTCTAAAGCTGCCTTCTCCAATAAGGCTAGCAGCGGCTTTATTCATCTTAGCTCTTGATGTTCCTTTCTGTAACTTTTGGTATATGTTGTTTGGTTGATTTGAATAGTTGATTTGCATGTATAAAAGACTTTACTGCTCTAGACCTATGCTGTCCTTAATACATTTTTAGCGCAATAAACTATTCAGTTCTTGTGATGTCTGAACAGGATGAAATGGTGTGCTGCCCTGGGATACTTTACTAAACCTAGTTCCTTGGATAATATTAACAAAAATGTGTTTCAGGCATAGACTCTTATTTTCAGGTTGTGTCATGAAGCTGGCAGTATATTTTCTGATTGTATCATACATTGTTGCAGATTATTTTAAGATTTACATATCCAAATGTAAACTCATCAAGAAGTTTTTCTACTGCTTTAGTTTCTCTATACTTCACACCTATTGTTCATCTATAGTTAAGAACAATTAGATGTTTTTAACAAACTGTGACACATTGTGTACTAGTAGCAGCAGGGGGTAGAGAAACAAGCACTGTTAATTGAGGTAATGAAATCCATAATTTTTGGCCCAATATTTCCCTAACAGTGGGAGATATGATACGAATTCAAGTTGCCTTCTCTTTCAGTTCAGGAGGTTGCCACATCACTGTTTTCATAGGAGAATGCAGATTACTTACCTTTGGCTTCAGGCTAAATAGGGAAGTGAAATGCGGGGAAAATAAATTCATACAGGTCAAAGTTCTGTAAGAAAAGTTTTCATGTTGTTCCAATTGTGTCTCATTTACCTCTTTTAGCTGCAAAAGAATATATGATGTTAACAAAATCTAATTTTACCTTCTCAGATAAATTTGAGCAGTTTTGGGCAATAAATCGAAAACTCATGGAGTATCCTCCAGAAGATAATGGATTTCGATACATCCCATTTAGAATTTATCAGGTAAGACACAATGAAATAAAACCACTTTTACCACACTCTTCCACTGAAGTGTCATATATCATAATCTGTTTTCAGAATTATACGTTCCCTTTTCTAACATTATGGTAAAACTAAGTATGCTTATCTTTGCTCAACATTGAGTTGTATGAATTAGCAAAGACAAAATAGAGTGTATTTATTCTAATAGGTAATTACCATTCATTGTGTTGCAAGTATGTAATACTTTAGAATGTGCTGAGGCTGGTGTAGATTATGTTTGTTGGTTGTTTTGGTTTTTTTTATTTCAAAAGCTAATTCTGTCATTAAAAATAACTGCTAACTATGAAGACTGCTTTGGATGCAAAATGCCCTCTGAAAGGTTTAAGTCAAACATTTCAGGAGCAACACTTTTCTGTCAACCAGGCTTCTTTTCTTTTTGGCATTATAAGGTGAAAGTAATGGCATAGGTCTTGCATCTAGGTCTTACCTTTGTCTTCTAATTGTGTACTTTACAATCCAAAACTATCTTTGAATATTTTTTCTGTTTTAATACACCAATGCTCTGTTTCTCTCAGGAGTTTACTGGGAGACATATTCCTTGGAATCCTTACAATTTTTTGATGTCCCCTTAGTTTTTATAGCATTAAGGTAATGATGAAGTTTGGGATAAGAGTGGTTAAAAGCTTACACAGAATTCATGTAGCCTCTCCATAAATTAAACAGTTCTGCTCTCTTTCATCTTTGAAACATTTTCATCTGTTTATGTTTAAGTTTTGCACCTGTAACTACCAAACAAAAGTCCTTTATTCATATTACTCAATAGTCTGATACTACTTTATAACAGGTTTTAATGACCATACAAACCCATACAATCTTGCAATGGGACTGAAGTGACTTTTAATGTTAGGTATAAGACATTTACCGTCATAGCGAAACCTAGATTGAGAACGGAAGTCAGTTATTTTGTCAGAGATCATAGCAGATGGCAAGGTTTGTATAAGTATCAAAAAGTATGTATCAGGAAAAGTAGTTCACTCACAGCATTTTGTTTGGCTGGTAACTAAGTTGTTTTCTTGTTCTCCGATAGGTGGGGGGTTTTTAAGTCTTTTCATAGAAATCACGTAAATGGCTTTGCGAAATAGAGGTTTTGCTGTCTGAATACGGTACAGACCTTTAAGCCATGAGGGAAATTTTCTATGATATCACATGATTTCATGCTAGTAAAGTTTGTTTTTTTTTTTTTAAAAATCTAATTCAGTAGTATCTATCCCTTTAGCCAGTAGTACTTATCCTTATTCTCATTATCTTTTCAACTGGAAACCTTACTTGCTGTAGTTGAAACCCAAAATACTTAACTAAGAATAGAAGAACAAACACAAATAAAGACGATGCTGAGACAGCCTTTAAGAAGGTTGGTGTATATTATTTTCAGTAATGCTGCTCTTAATATTTCTAAATATTTTCAGTAATGTTCCTCTTTTTTAGGAAGTGGATGCAGGTGTTTCTGGCTTTTTTGTTTGGTTGTTGGTTTGTGTACCAATTACTGCTCATCATAAAAGTCTGTATATGTAAAGGAATTTCCAAAAAGTGTTAGGAAGGGTGAGATGATAATTGGATTCCCAGCAAGGAATTGATTCCTGTAGTTTTAACATAATTTTACAGTACTTAGTGACAGACTTGCATACGTTGGAGTAACTGATTCAAAAGTATTCTTAAGATGTATTTAACACGCCCCGATTGCTTTTAATTTCCATTAGTGCTCGTAGAAGTCAGCTTGCATATCCCTACATAAATATCTGAAAGCCAGTTTAGCCTGGATTTTGTATTACAGTGGATATTTATTCCCTATGTGTTTTCACATAGTGTTTTTGTAGATACTTAAGGATATGCAGATGGATGGCAGGGAATTACTAGGGATTGCCTTCGGTGGGGAGAGTTCCTCATCTTAGTCTCCATACCTCCCATTACCCCAAAATTATTAGAAGGAAATTCTGTCAAGGGAACTGCCTAGATTGTGTTTTGCCAGTGTGAGGTGGATGAATTTGTTTTCCTTCAAAGAAATGTACTAGATTATGATATCAACTAAGAAAAATCGGTCTGAGCAAAGATCAAATGTGACTGGGAAAAGTTGCTGCAGAAAAAAAATGCATGCAATAAAGTGATCTGACATGCTTTTCACTGAAGGCCTGATATTTTCAAAACTCAAAGGTTCTCTCAATTGTAAAGCTTGTCTATTAAAATACATTTCTAAAGAATAATATGAATCATACCTCGCGTGGTATCCAAATCTGATGGTGTGTGGGGGAGAAAGAGATGGCAAAAATATGAGCGTTCTACTTGGTAAGTCAGAACTAAACTAACCACAGGTAATTTTAAAAGCCCTTGTCCAGCACCTCCTCTTTTAAGAGTAGCAGCTAAGATTGGACCAGAATCCTGGCATCTACTGTAGAAGATGAAGAAAAAGACTGACTATCACTAAGGATCAACTCGTTTGCAATTTTAAAAGTTAGCCAAGAGATCCTGGAGATTTTATTACCAGCTGTCATAGTCTAAACTGTGTCATATAGAACTTGCACCAGACAAACCTTTGACATAGGTGTGGAAACTTCTACCAGGGATGGTTTAAAAATAGTGATTATATTTTTGTGACACTTACACTTACATGTGTCAAAAAAAAAAGTGCCCCACTTCATCACTTCAGAGGTATAGGCTGCTGTCTTCAGATGACAGTTGCACAAACATTTTTTGTCTTTCTGTCCGATAGTACTGTTGGATAGAGTGCTTTTTTCACTTGTTCTTTAATAGCAAGAGAGAAAATAATAGTAATATTATTTTGAGTATATTATGCATTTAAGAGTGTTGCTTTTCTTGTACAGTACTAGAGGTAGTTTGTCTTGAGGACTTTTTCCCCATGTTTATAAGACCAGCTAGTTTTGCACTTTCTAATTGAACAAACTATATGGCTGATAGATGGCAGGAGGTTTTCATCAGTCTTTGGCTCCAGGTGCTGTGACGGGGCATGTTAGTCAGGCACTGGAGAGGAGCCTATGTGCTGATAGAGACTACCCTGATGAGGTACTGTCTGCTGTCTTACACTGCAGATGGGAGCACTCTGAGTCTCAGTTATTGTGCACTTAGTTTGCACTCACCCCCAAGTTTTGGTATCTTGCTTTCTCCCTGTGTCAACGCTCACCCACTTTTTCTTGCTTGCTCTCTCCCTGTCAGTCTCCTCCTTTCCTCTGGAGTCTGCCTTATGAGTATATAGGATTTAAAGTTGTAAGTAGTATTTCATTCTTGATAATAAAATTACAAAAGTATGTGAAAGAAAATGCATTAAAGCTGTTAATGACAAGCTCTTCTGAGCTTTCCTAGAGTTGCACTTGGCTTAAGGCAGGTTGGCTGTTGGGTGTTTGCCCAAAAAGGGGATGATCTGGGATTGTTTGTTTGCTTGTTCCCTTATTTGGGTCCTGGGACATGCTATGGTACTGGAATGAGCATTCCTTTGCCTCTGTTTTCTAAGGGTTTTGATTAGGTTATTAATTTTATTGTCTAATTACATAGTAGGTCTTAGCTTTGAACAGGTTTTTCCTATCATAACACCCTTAAGATACTGTGATTAAATCGTACAGTTACAAATTGTTACGATGTTTATCTGCCTTAGTAACATGAGTGAAATTCTCTATGCTTAATAATACATCAGTTAAATCTAACGCTTTGCTCTTTCTGTCAAAGTTGCAATACTGAGATGTCTAAATAGTTTTAAATGTCTAGCATGACCTGTCCTCTAAAAATAGCAAGGTGGAAGGGGGAAATGAAATATTCTGAGACATTATTAATATCTGGCTCAGTAAATGAATCGGAAGCCCAAGCATGGCCCTTTCCTAAGCAATGCAAGACCATTTTATTCATATTTCCATATTAATTGGCAGAGCTCAAATAATCAATTGCAAAACCCATTACAAGTATGTAAATCAGCATCACAATTTGGCCCATGTTATGACAACTACTCAAAAACTGATCAAAACTTAATATACTCAAAATAATATTACTGTTATTTTCTCTCTTGCTATTAAAAACTGATCTTTGGAAACATACTGGGTCCACCTGTAAAGTTTTCCAGTAATAATAAATCCATCCTTTTATGCTAGTAGGTTATTAAAATCTTTTTTTTATTTTGGGTGAAAGCCTCCACTACATTTCAAGGCTGAATTTGTCTGAGTTCAACTCCAGTTTCTAGATTTTGTTTTGTCTTCCACCACTTTAAAGTCATCTGACTTTCTAACCTCCAAGTTCACTTACTGAGTGATTTCAGCAGCTTCAGTTTTCTTTGGTAAGCTGAATCAATTGAGCTCTTTAAGCCTCTTGTTATGAGACTTGCTTACCAGTGCTGAAGTTGGTTTTTTTAGTCATCTTTTCAAACACTAGCTGATATTTTGATAATACTCAAGGTTTGTATTAAAGTTAGGGAGACATAGAGGCCAAAAGTAAAGTTTATTTCTGTAGGGTTTTTGATCAAAAATACTTCAAACACTGGTGAGATAAAGGTAAAGTTAGCTGCTACTTAAAACTGCAAATCTGAAAATTTTTATTAAAGAAGTTGAAATGCAATGACTCGTCAAGCAAAAGAACTAGAAAATGTAAATGCTGTCGACCTGAAGAGGGCAACACAACACAGCAAGTTTGTGCCTTGTTGGCTAGTGCAAAATGCTCTTGAGTAGACCTGTGTGTAATACCTTATTTAACTTTTTTCTTAATAAAAATGATGTTTTCATAAAGAACCTGCTGAAAATAGATCAATTTATTTCTTAAAAATTTTCTTTTACAAGAGGAAGTTTGAATGAATAGAAAAATAATGTGAAATGATGTTTGATTTGTGTAACAGAGCTGTGCTCAGCTGAATTTCTGTGCTGAAAAGAAAAAAACCAGACTCTTGATTCATCATTGAGTACCCAAAATGACTTATTCTAATAACTGATGGTTCAGCACTGAGGAAACACTAGCACGCTTTCACCAGTTTTAAA